CCACTTTCATATATTGATCCCCCGGCATTGGTGAGAAATATTTCTCCAGTCTTTTAAAAAAATCAAAATTTCATTACTTTTTTAGGTGAACAATATTAACAAGTAAATTATACATTTATACTTTATTTTTCTCTTATAATAGCAAAACATATTTCTTTACCCATAACAACGACTACTTTTATTTATTTACAATAATAACAATACGTAACATGAAACTTATAAGTTATAAGCATATTGTACGTTTCATATTACATATAAGTTGTTATTATAATTAAAAAGAAATACATTCATTTAAATGTTCCAAAATGAAAAACTAAAAGGCAACAATAAGTGATATTTTACAACAAAACTATACATAATGATTAAGAAAATGGTTAAAATCGTTCGTTCTAGCATTATTTGTCCTTTTTGAACATTTTAATTGCAAATAAACTTTATGTACATGGTTAAAATAACTCTGATTATATTTTGGTAGAAAATGATGGGATTTATTGCAAGCATCATGGGACAAATGGCTTCAAATGCAATCTTCAAGGGTGACAACAAAAAGGCCGTTTATTTTATATGCATCGTAGTAGCTTTTGTTATACTCTTCATTGTTCTAAGGCTTTATAGAAGTTAAGATTCATAATTATTACGCAACATACTTTCTTTTACTTTTTTACCCATAATAGCAATATATACTTACATTTTTACCAATGATAGCAATATGTAATCCATAATATCTAACATACATGAATTAGTTTAGACATAATAGCAACAAGTATAACACTTGTAGAGAATGAAAAGTAGTTAAAAGTCGTTGCAAACCATGAAAATTGTTGTCAAGGTTAGACATTTTTTACAAAGGGGTTATAAATCAGATAAGAAAAGACCAAAATACCCATCAGTCATCATTGGATTAGTAAATGTTGTTTGATCAACAATTCGGGTATTTCCATTGCAGAAATGCTTTCACATCCAAAAATCTCCATAAGCTTTGCATCACATATAATCATCACAGGATTTTCAGGATCCTATGATTAAACATCAAACAATCAAATAATCATTTATCCAGATGGAAAAAAAAAAAAAAGGATCTGAAATGTTATTTAATATTTAATTATTTATACCTCAAGATTATTGACCTTTATATACTCCCAAATAAGTCTCAAAGCCTCTGATTGAGACATTTGTCTTTCTTGCATATTCAAACAATTTGCAAGTGCTTCAGAAATTATAACTTGACATGGAACAAAATCACTACTTTCAACCTTCACTGTTGGTTTCCTACGAGATGATGCCTCTGAAAAATCAACATTTTTGTAATTTAAATTAAATCAAAAAGGCAAATTGTAGAAAAACTGAAAAACTATTATATTTTGGGTGACTTTATATATATACTTGTAGGTTCAAGTGGGATGATATGTTTAGCAAGCAACTTATTCATCTTAAACATATCAGTGGAATCGGTTTCAAAAACAACACGTAAAGCATCATCACAAATTATCTTTCTCTTGTTTCCAGGATCTTGGAGGTTGTTTTTCTTTATGTAGGCCCATAGTTGCTTCACAATCTGAAAGATATAAGCTTTTATATGAGTGTTTTCTAGTTTCTAGTTAAATATATCAATTCTTTAAGCAGAAAGTAGGATTCATACATCGGTTCTTGATAAGGATGATTTGCCTAGAATCACTTGTAGCTCAGGTGAAATACCACAGAGCTTATTCAGCCCCCCTGGCCCACCTCTTCTTTTGTTGGCTGAAGGACTGTGTTCATTGAAAACATTATAGCAATGTCATCGAGGTACACTGCTTCATAAGAAAAGAAACTGAATGTATAATGTTGATATGAAGATTCAAAGAGATGAAAGTATGATGGTTTTCTTGCTTTTAACCCTTCATTACATCGGGGAGATTAATGTAGAATCAAATGTTCTTTCTTTATTCTGGAATGAAGCAAAAAAGGTAAAGAAGCTAAGTGAACGGTCAATTTAGAGGTTATTCCCCCGATTTCAACATAACCCTAATTACATAAACGAGAAAAATGGCATAGAACAATAGTTTAAACTGACGAAGAAAACGAGTAGAAATCTGTACCCTTTCTTGATCTTTTCGGGCGATTTCCAAACCGCATTTTGAATGGGGAAACCTTCATACTTCACCTCCGGTAATGTCTGCACTCGTGACTGCTCTGGAGGAGGCCGCGGCGCCTCAGGGTTACCGAAGTTAAGCTCAACCGGGTGTCTCTGGCGTTGTTCTTGATGTTCAAAGGCAAAATGAGAATGGTGATATTGAGGCCGAAGAGGAGGAGGCGCATGAGGCTGTTGATGTTGGAAGGAAAATTGGGGTTGTTGATGTTGGAAGGAAAATTGGTCTTTAGGTATCCCAGAGGTGGTCACCGGTGAAGAAACGGAGGGTTGGGGCGGCGGTGGAGGGTTGCGGAATTGGGAGTGGGAGTGGGAGTGGGAGTGGAAGAGGAGTAGGTTGATTTGGTCACGAATGAAAGCTGCCTTGAGACAATGAAAGGAAATCAAACCCAGTTTTTCACCAAGCTGATTAACAACATGATCGAGAGTAGTGAATGATTTGGGGTGAGATTGGGTGAGAAGAATCTGAATCCCTTTTGCTATCTCTTGATCGGACACCATTGCTCTTCACATTAAATAATAATAAATACACCAATTTCACCAAATTGGTTTCTCTCTCTCTCTCTACAAAGTCTTAAAACTCTGTCCCACTCTTCTTTTTTGTCACTGTCTTTATTATCCACACTCCAAATATTTCCCTTTGATAGCCACGTGTGATTTTAGTATTGGTATTTTGTTTATTAAGAGTAAATTCGAATAAATGAAGGGAGATAATTGGTGTGTTTGTTCTTTAATCTATTTTTTTTCTTGGATATTTCTTTTTACACACCATCCTATACAATCCTATTACACACCAATCTAGTACCAGACAATTTAATGGCAGCATCCATGTACACCATCTTGATCTACAAAACCCAATGCATTTTTTTTCAAAAAAAATGGAACACGAGCCTTTTTGGGCTTTTAACAACCTTGCAGCTTTTAAACCTTTTCCTATTTTTTTAAACTAACCATCTGGTCAACTCTTAATTTAAACTTTTAAATTTTATGATATTTATTATTAAACCTTATATTATTAATAAACCTTGCCGTTAAATTTTTTTTATTTACCATACGATTAATAATAAAGATTGTTCCAGTGACTTTTATTTAAGTTATATTATATTAAAGCAAAATACAAATAAAATATTTTGTAATATCAACTAAGTTTTAATTAATATGTCATTTAACATTTATACTTTTAAATATAGAGTTGTAACTAAAATATAAAGGTAAACAAACCATATATATAATATATCTATATATATATATATATATATATATATTATCTATATATATATATATATAATATGAATGTTCATAAATTGTTTGACAAAAATAAATTCATTGTTATTTATTTATTTGATAAACGAACAATTCTAAACATAATTCTTCTTTATACACCCCAATCTACCCATATCTGTTACCTATATTTTAAAGTCTATTTTGACTTTGTGTTTCTAAGACCACTTTTTCCAATATTTACTGTCAGAGTTTAGATTTTCAAAAAACAATATAAAAAACTATAAAATTATATTAGTAAATTTACTGTTCAAATTACATAAAAAATAAAAACTCATTTACAAAAAATACTCTAAACTAAATACATCAATATCACCGGAAATACTACCGGAAATATCATCTGAAATACGTTGCTCGTCGGAAATACGTCGCCAGAGCATTTATCGCCGAAAATACGTCACAGTAATACTACGGAAAGATATTAGGTTGATGAAAATTTATGTCTCGGATTTTTGTTATGTAATATTTAAAATTAAAAAAAAAATGATGAAAATTTGTTTGGATTTTATTTTTCTTATAATATCAATGATATTAGGTTGATGAAAAATTATTTGGAATTTTATTTTTTATAATATTATTTTTTCTGTTATTATATTATACAAACTATATTATTATTAATAAAGTTAGTAATAACAAATGTAATTATTAAATAATAATAATTTATGCTTATGTAATAATGAATTAATAACAAAAGTTGGTCAAATAATAATTAGATTGTCATTATGATTTAAAAAGTATGGTCAATAAAATAATTATATGATGATAATTACCATCATTAACCAAAAAGTAAACCTAATACTATAGGTTGTTGTTGTAGATTGATGTTTCCAAAGTAGGACCCTTTTTCTTTTAAACTCGAATAATTTTTATAGTTTGGTTTATTTACATGCCTACTTCTACTAAGATAAAAAAAAGTCTATATTATCCTTATTTATTTATTTTTATTGATTTTATGTTATTTACTCTTTACAAAAAAATGAAAAGTATTAAGTGTCGTGAGTCATACCACCCAATTCTCACCCTCGCAACTAGCTTAAAGATTTAGACATCTCCAGCTTTAAAACCGTCATTAGGGAGGAGAGAGTCATTTCCTCCCACCCCACTGAACCTACTGCCACATTATTTTTTTTTCTTTTTTTTTTTTATCTTTTCCAACCCATAACACATGGAAACCCTGTCTTTTTGAACCCACTCAACTCATTCAATTAAAAAAAATACAAAACAATCAAGGTAAAATCTTAATTAGCAATAGAGTTACCGCCGATACCACTCCTTCTTCAGCGGGTTGTTTAATTAGTTTCACTAACCCACTTCATCACCTCTCTCTACTTTCTCTCTCTCATTTTCTCTTGTACCATGTGTTTTAAAACTTGTACCTTAGTTGTTTTGTATTTTTTTTTAATTGAATGGGTTGAGTGAGTTAAGAAAGATAAGATTTCCGTGTGTTGTGGGTTGGGAAAGATGAAGATAAAAAAGAGACAAAAACTAATGTGACAGTGAGTTCGGTGGATTGGGAGGGAATGACTCCCTCTCCCTTAGGACTAGGCTCCACTTTCATCTCCAATTCCTATGAAATGTAAGTGTGTAAAAGTTGGACATCGACACATTCGGCGATACCATCATAGTCGAACACATCTCAATCGACGTCTCTCTAATCGCTTTAAGGATTTGAATATTCTAAATCACTAATATAAAGAAAGAAAGAAGCTCTTGTTCGAAATCGCCTATTGAAATTGAAAATATAGTCAACCCCACACATTAGATTGTTGTTTTATTGAAATCGAACTGAAGTTGGAACTCACGAACACAATAAAGGTTTTAAAACTTGGAAATCGTGAGGATGTAAATAGTTCTTTTGTATTTTGGAATTGTTTTTATTTTTCTGGGTTTGAAATCAAATGGTTTATGTTTTTAAAATCTAATTCATCTTGTAGGGTTGATGGTGTTAGGTTGAATATATCAATGGTGTTGGGTTTTTTTAATGATTACAATTCAAAATCAATGGGGTTCTTTTGGGTTGTAACGGCGGGGAGAAAACGAAGGAGAATAAGTAATTATATGTATAAGAGATAATTATTGATTTTGTGTGTGAAGGAGAAAATAGGTAGTGGTCGTTGGAGCTCCTATAACAAAAAAAGGAGGGTAAAGGAATGAGGATGGGATGTTGGGACCTAATAGTTTTATCATCGATGATTTCTTAGATCCAACATCGAGTGTCTCAAATCCGGAGGAAGAAAGGGATGGGTTGGGTTGCAGGGGAGGAAAAATAAGAAGGGGAACGTTGCAACCATGGTTAGTGGTGATGGTGTTTGGAGGCGATTTTCCTGTGACTGAACACAAGATGGGATGAGATGAGGAGGGGTGGGTAGTCTAGGTTTATCAATTAATGGGACCCATATATTTGTTTAAATTATTTAATAATGTAAAAAAGGTAAAAGAGATCAATAAGGGAAAATCAATCTTTTTACACTAATTAGGGACCAATCACGCAACAAAAACATAGCTTAGTGACTTTCTGAGTTAAAAATGAGTTAAAGACTAAACATGCAAATTACCCCAAACCACAATGACCATTCATGTAACTTACTCTTAATATAATGGTAATTTTGAATGTGGTAGTAGAGACTATATTTTATATGAGTAATCAAATATGCTCTACCCACCTTTTGTTCATATTCGTATTATTATTCATAAAATCAAGACAAATGTTAAAATCAAGACAAAGTATTAAAAAAGAATTAGTTGATTCTACATGCTATTATTTTAAATTAACTTACAGAGGTCAAACGACAATGTTCTAGGAAAATCAATTGTCTTCTTTAGCCTCAATAAAGATAGAAACTGAGTTACAAGAGAGTTGGCATCACCATGTTGGATTATCTGCTGATTTGCTTAAACTTGACATCGAATTGTTTGATTAATATTTACATAATCTTGACACAAACTTTATCTAGTCTTCACTATCCATGTTGGATATTATATTTTTTTTACAATTTACACAGTTACACATGTTGCTATGTAAATCTAATATTTGTTTGCTTTTTAGTTTCTCAATTAGTACAAGAGAGTTAACATCACCATGTTCTGCCTTCTGTTCACAAGGTTCTTTGTATGCACTATACAATATGCAGTCATTTGGTAAATCTCACAACAAAAGAGGTGGTCGCTTCATTGTAAGAGCTAAAAGTGTAAGTTAAATCTCAAATCATCTTTCTTTTAAATTTTATGTTATTCCCATTTTGTTTAATGATTATTTTAATGTATCTATCTTGTACACACATGATTACCATTTTAGAGAGATAATCAGATCCATGAAGCCTCGTTGACCGTTAACCATTGTCTGTTTCTATCAAGTTGCAAAACTTGGTCCCTGATAAACCCGTAACACCATAATCATTTCAAAATCATAAGTATGGTGATTAAATGGAAATTAAATAGTAATAACCGAAGGGTTTTGAGCAATCTAACACTCCTAAGGTGTACATGCAACCCTAGAAACCTTGGATCTATGTTTTACTAAAATACATGCAAATTTGATTTTCCAATGTTCTTAACCTAACTAGCATGACATGGGGAACTTTGAAACATAAAAGCTAGTAGAAGAACATACCTTTCTTGTTGCTTGGATTCCTTGAGAACCTTGTGAGCCTAGCACCTCAAATGTGATGCCTCAAATGTTTCACACAACACCACAACTCTTGGAATAACTTTGAGAGAAGTACACTATCACTCAAAATCGTCTAGCCCTCTTGTTCTACACATAGTGCCGATTTTGGTAGCCCATGGGGTCCTTTTATAGTTGTGTCACAAGTAGGGTTACAACATGTAAACCCTAATTGACATGGCTTTTCATATTCCATGATCCATGGATTTATAACCTCCATGGACTATCCATGGAGCACCTTATGGGTTTTAGCCCAATTCAATAAACCATGGATCATTAACCCACTATATAAGAATGGATGATTTACACAATCAACCCCATATATTTAATTAGTCTCTTTTGATCATCAAATTAATTCTGAATTAATTCTTGATCAATACTAATTAAATAATATTATTAATATATTAGAACTTATAATATATTAATAAACCATAAGTGTCATTTCTCTCATTTTGTCTATCCAAGTGTCATGATGCCATGCAACCCAAATGGACCATGGCAACCGGGTCAAGTACATCCCCAGAGATAGTTATGAACTTAGACACCTAATCCAACAGTCTCCCACTTGGATAAGTCTAATAACTATAACTGCAATGATGACTTCAGGAACCGATCACCAATCATAGCTCTTTCAAAG